CTGGAGCAATTGTTTCATTCTCATCCCAGGGACGGCCCAGGAACATGGCCTCCGTAGAGTGTGTCTGCCAGTAGGGGGCGTATCACCTACATCATTCTTACAGTCACACATATACTACACTGGTGGACTTATTACCCTTAACTTCTCATAGCTCAGTTGATGCCAAAGGAAAACAGGGTTCTGTTATGGAAGTGACTCCCTTCTTTACCGGCCAGTGCTTTGCTTCAGATGTACACAAAAAGTTTCTGGGACGTTTTCTAGCGTCCCTTCCCTAACTGCTTTTAAGATTTCTTAATTACTTGAGGGATGAGGTTTCTCTTATTTCCTATACCTACAGTAATTAAACACCTAAGTGCAACCAAAACGGGCTGAAATGTATAAAGAATAGAAATATATATATTGCCAAACAAATAAATTCTCTCTAAGGATTAAATATCAATAATTTCATTAGCCTTTATAGTAATCCCAAGATTTTTACACAAACTTCTTTTCCTAAAATACCCTCAAATACCAATATACTACACATGTTCAAATAAATTGTTACTATTTTCTCAATACAAATATTAAAATAAGAAATTTATATATAAAAGCTACAGTCCTACTGATTGTGGTAAAAGCTGTACTACTCCATGTCAGTTAACGAAGAATATGTTGATTGATGCTCGCAGTCACCTTTAGAAAGCTGAAATCCCACAGTTTGAGTACTGACTTTGACAGCTATGCTTGGGGCACTGGGAAACTCACTTAAACTTTCAGAGTTCCTTTTTTCTCATATGCAGAAAGCTGTAGCATAAAGTTTAGTAAATGTTAATATAACCAGTCCTACTGGAATTTGGAGAAAAAAAAAACAATGCCTATACTTCAAATTTTTGACTTCAAAATTGAAGATAAACGGAGTGAAAGTCATTAATTATGTTTTACAAATACATAGTTCTGTTGTCTGTATAGGGTTATAAAAACAGGCTTTGGTGGGGATGCTACAAATTATATCTCTATCCTATAGGTTAATCAATCTTTCCAACACACAATACCTAATACATGGTGTTCTAGTTTGTTTCTCCACTGCAGTGACAAAATACTCTGACCACTGCCAACTTGGGGAGGAAAGAGTTTATTCTGCTTACATCTCCTGGGTCAGGGAGCCCAAGATAGGAACTCAGGGCAGGAACCTGGAGGCAGGAGCTGGAGCACAGGCCATGGAGGAATGCTGCTTTCTGGCTTGCTCCCTAGACCCCTGCTTGGCCTGCTTCTTACACAACACAGGCCCACCTGCTCAGGGGTGGCACCACCCACATCACTCAGTAATCAAGAAGATGCCTCACAGACATGGCCACAGGCCAGTCCAATGGAGGAAATTTCCCAATTGAGGCTCCCTCTACTCAGGTTGTCAAGCTGACACTAAAGCTGTCTAGCACACGTGGCAATTTCTTTTTGGTCAACAGATTCAAGTCCATAATTTCAGCATCCTGTCTGGACCCTCAACTGACGTGCAACATAATGCTGCACGAAATACTTGGAACCTCTTAAACACTCCACTAGGTTCGATGTTTATATCTCGTTTGCTGTTTTTCATATTTCGGTTTATTCTAAAGATGAACAGAGTTGCATTATGGTAACAGCCTGGCCTTATTCACGGTCAGTCAGGCTTGGACTTGTGCTGCCTTCTCTTTGGTATTTTGGGAATCTGAATAAGTCCTGTATACCCTTCAGTTCTCAGCTGCAACGCCATTTCTGCTTGGGAAACTTCAGTGGGTCACAAATGTACCTGAGTTTATATTCTTTAAAGCACCATATCACAACCATTAATACAGATCTCTAACTCTCCCACTGCATACTTTGGATGTGAAGGACAGTTGTTTATTTTTATGTTTCAATCCAAGGACACGGAAGTATTTAACACTGAGGCCTGTGGCCAAATATTCTGATTAGAATACAGGCTATGGAATCGGACAGGCTGAGGAATCAGACCACTCTGGCTATGCAACTCTCTCTGCTTCTCAGTTGTAAGCAGGCTCTGTTCACTTATTCTCAATGAGACTATTTCCTCCAAGATGAAAAGAGTAACAACAAAAGTCATTGTACTAACTAATGCCTTGGATTCAGCAAACAACATATATTATCAATTGTAGAGATGGTACTGATGAGGACATGGGTGATCAAGGAGTATTTGTTCAGTTGGAGATGATGAAATGAAGTTAATTTATTACTACTGGAACTGGATGTGTGGATCCTTGTAAGACATCTTATATCTGACTTGTTCAAAATTAACTCTTGTTGTACAATTAGTAAGACTGAGTTATTACCAAAATATTTATTAAGTATCTTTGAGAGCAGCAAATGTTAAACTGAGCATATGGTGATAGTGACAATGCTGGACACAAACAAACAAACAAACAAGCAAACAAACAAACAGTCCAAGGGTGGAAAGATGGCTCACTGTTTCAGATTACATGCCTTTCGTGCAGACGACCTGGGTTCAGATCCAGGCACCTTACGTGGCAGCTTACAATAACCTGTAACTCCAGTTTCATGGAATCTGGCACACTCTTTTAGCCTACATGGACTCTGCACACATGTGTGGCATATAAACCCAGGCAGGCAAACACATACATATACGAATTAAATAAGTAAGTCTTTGGGGGCTGGAAAGATGGCTCAGTGGCTAAGAGCATTTGTGCTCCTGTGGACAACCTTGGTTGGATCCCCAGCACCTGCAATGGGCATGCTCACTACTGCCTGTAACTTCAGTTCCAAGGCATCTGCTGCCCTCTTCTGGCCTCCACAGGCACGGCAGGCATACGGAGACAAGCAGGCGCGCGCGCGCGCGCGCACACACACACACACACACACACACACACACACACACGCACACACACAAATAAAATCTAAAAAGAAAGAAAACAATTTCTATTCCTGAGTAAGTCTGAATCTTTATAGCTGAGTTCCTGCCCAATTTCTCTTACTGACATAATAAAAATCTTGCAAAATCTTAAAGGAATATGAGGAATCTCTTTAGAGATGAAAAAATCTAACAAAAAGATCCTCACACCCAACATATAATCTGGACTATTCAGTGACTGAGAATATAATACTTTAAGTTTAATTTTGGAGAACATATTAGTATGCCTTCTGAGAATGAATTGAAAAATCTGTCCATGCGGTAATAAGATATGAAAATGTGAAAATCATTCTTTAAGCAGTTTTATTAAACTCAGAGGATAATGACTATGGATACAAGTGAGCATGGAACTTTCTTTAAATAGAAAAGACATTTATGTTTAAAATGAATTTAGAAAGACAACTAATTCCCAATACCAATTGTGTTCTGAATAAGAAGAAATTGCAGGTCAAAAGCCTTTGAAGATTTACATTTCCCAACAGAAAATATTTTTTGTATTTTACAGTCTGTAGGGGGGTTACATTAGGGAACGGAACATGTATTTCTAAAAGAAATCATTTAAGTCATGATTATCAGCTAGTTGGGTGCCAAAGTCCAAGCTGAAAATTTATTGATGTTGATGATGGCAATCAGGACAGCTGAGAGGTAGCTAAATCACAGAAAGGCAAAGTGCTGTAAATGCCACAGCGCAATTACTAATGATTAGTGCAGAAGCATGCTAATACGTTAGATGCAATATTTTGAAGGTCACTCAGCTATCAACTTACTTTAATGCTATTCAATTAAATACACACTAAAAATCTATGATTATTTATGGAAGGTATTTTGTTGTGCCTGTAGAATAGCATTTTACAAATTCTTGCTGTGTGTAGTAACAGAAACAGCTAATCTAATGTAGCATTAAGCAAACTGCATCTTTGCTGTGTATTTCTTAAGTGTTAAACTAATTATGATGAGGTTTGGTTTTACTATATACTGCATATTTAATCTTTTTTTAAGAGCCTATCAAGTTGAGTCACAAGACACTTGTTTATGCTATAACCAACCACATGCAATATTAACAAAGTACCATATCCCGGTTTAATTCCAGGAAGACCGTGTGATCTTAAACACATTTAGGATAACACCACACAGCTCTAATATGAACTTGCTACTTAATTATAGTCGAAAAATAGTTTGTATACTTGGAACATTTCCCCCTCTGTCTGTCTGTACAGAACATTTCTGTACTGCCTAGCTTAAAGTAAATGCTGTTGAACACGAGAGAGAGGAGAAATAAAGAGTGATGGGCCTTGTCCAGGTGGGAGGGCGTGCTGGCTGCAGTGATCCCACCCGAGACATGATCTCCATTGCATCTCCTGTCAAGCAGCTAAGCCACACCCTAGAAAGACCCTTTCTAGCAATTTCTGTTTTCTACTATGAAGTTCTATGAGCAGATTTTACTTCAGAAAAAGACTATACTTTTAAGTTTCTCTTGTCTCTTACTCTTTTCCCCCTGCCTTTTTTTCCTCCATCTATCTTTCCCCTTCTCTCTCTCCTCCCTTCTCACTCCTCCTTTTTTCTCATTCTATCCTCCTCCCGATTTCTATCTTCCTTTCTGAGAGGATCTCTCTGTGTTGGCCAGGCTGCTCTAAAAACTGCAGCCCTTCTGCCTGACTTTACCCAAAGCATTCTGATTAGAAGTGTGCACCGCCACCCACAACTCTCTATTACCTTGAACTTTATTTTAGTTCTCTACTACAGAAAGTCTCTAAACATCACACATCTGATACGGACTGATTTCGTCAGCTTTCTAGGTCACTTGCTCTTTTCTTTGATATTGAACTTTCTAGAGTAATAAAAGAACAATCTTAACTTTCAAAACAAAATTAAGATATACATGGAATCATTAAACTCAATCATAAGTGATATGTTTTGACATAAGAAGTTCATATTTATTGGCAAGTTAACTAAGGCTTTTTGGTTTGCCTGGATGTTTTTGTTTTCCAATAGCACTAGCTCTAACAGTTTAGATGAAGCAAGCTCATTTCTGGAGGTCAGAAAGAATGACATCAGACCTCAGTTTCACAATGAGATCAAAAGAGATCAAAAGACTGTTTACCTTCACAAATGGTGACACCATTTCCTGAGAACCCCAGGTTGCAGTAGCAGGCTTCCACACCATTGCGGATTTCACACTTTGCATTTGGCAGACAAGGTGTCTTGGTGCAATTTTGAGTAAAGGAACAATTCAACAAAGTAGAGAAGCCCACTGAGCAAACAAACAAAAAAGGACCTTGTCAAAAGCAGTCACCGTCCCGTTGTCCCGTTACACTGAAAAACACCAGGATTATGAAAACTTCCCAGGGACTTATTTGGGTAAAGGGCAGGGGAAAGCAGCTAAGATTCCCTCCACGTGAACCTTATCAGGTAAACCTCAATAAAATGAAAATATAATGAAGAATCCAGTCCACCTTTATAATGAAACTATTGCCTGGGTGTCCAGGCTCAGCCACCCTTACCCCACCCGAAGTGAAGGACTTCTGTAGGTAAAGCAATTTTGCTTTCTTGGCTTTTGGAATAATTTTTTTCTCTCTCTCCAGAAATCAAGGGAAATTGGGTATTTGGGTCTTTTAAATCTGAAATCTTAAGTTTTAAGAGCTTACTGTAACTTCTAGAAGAACTAATGCATTCCCCCATCCCCTACCAACCTGCTCTCTGACCACCCCAATTTTTCCTCCCCTCCCTGACTCAGACCCTGACTCTCTGACACCTCCCTCCCCAGCTCCATGTTCTGGCAATTGTTCTACATTTTTCATGACAAAATTAAATTTCTTTTACAATATCTTATATTAGGAGAAATTAAAATAAGATTCAACATACTAAGAATTGATCTTTCATACAAGGAACACCTCTCCAACATGATAAATGAAACTATATTTTAAAGTGATGCTTTGAGCAAAGTTAGGAAAAGATAAGAAAAATCATGGATTGTTCTCTTGCTGTTTCAGACTTCTCAAGAGCGAGTTTGGGAGGAACAGAAATCACAAAGCCATTGCTCTGAAAAGAGTCATCCGAGATACATTGTCCTTACCTGGTATCAAGAGATTCGTACACATTCATAGCTAAATCCCAGCCGACACTACACATAAGACTATATTTCCTAAACCAGAATTAACTGCCTTCAAATAAGTGATTTATGATCTTTACCCACGCATCATCAAAATGGGATTTTTAAATGAACCCAAAGCTGGGCAGGCAATCGCCTTAAAACGTCAGGAAGCTTCCCTAAAGGGCTCATGGTTTAGATTTCCCAGGTTTCTTGAGGGAGTTCACAAGAAAGGTCAAAGTCTAAGGCTTGACAGACTTTAGGGATTTCTCCAGGAAGAATAAAGAGGTAGCAGTTCTGGGCCTTAGATGTCAAGGTCCCGATGGAAAAGGCCACTCAGAAAAGCATCCTGAGAAACTGCATCAGTTTTCCTCAGAGAAATCCTTGCCACTGGAACTCCACCGAGCGAGATGTAAAAGTGGCGAGCTCTGGAGTAGGATGCCCGCGGTCCTCCCCGCCGGCCACACTCACCTAGAAGCCAGAAGAGTCTCATTGGAAGCCGCGGAGCGGGCGCTGGGAGAGCGCGGCGGGCAGTGCGGGCCTGTCCCGGAGCTGGGCGGGCGCCTGGGGTCCTGCTGCGCCATCCCCTGTGACGCACCGCTTCCTCCGGTCCCTTTCCGGCCTCTTTTGTGTGAGTGTGAGCACAGCCCTAGTCTGCAGACCATGTCCGGCCTCCAGCCCTCTTCTCCCCAGTCGCCTGGGCTCCATTTCCAGCCTGTGGCCACCGGCTCCCCAGGGCTGCAGATGTGTCCCTCTCTGGCCAGGTTTCACCCAGGTGCAGCCATCACGGTGTCCCCTGAAAGCCTGTGCCCACAGAGCCATGGGGAGCCCCTCCTGGGATAGTACCCCAACATTCCTGCACACATCCTCTTTCTGATCACTAACTGCTGTCCTTAAGGAACAATGGGTCAAGAAGTCATCTGGGACTTTGGGTCCAGGCTGGGGCACTTCACCAGTGCTCCATTTTAACCTTACAGGAGGCTCAAGGATCAGGAGTTAGAACTGGCTGAGTTAAGAAAGTGAAAATAAAAAGACAAGATTCAAGCTTCAAGGTTTAGAAAACAATCGATATTCAAAATGTTTTCCCTTGCCTGGTTCCTGACAGCCTCAGTTACAGTTCTGTATCAAATATAACAATTCTGCCTTAAGAAAACTAGAACTACCACACAGGCAAACTAACTTAAAATTATAGAAAGCAGACAGTTGATTGGCTTTGGTTGAAAGGAGCTGGGGGAACAGACAGAAATGGGCAAGAGAAAATTTGAGGGCAGTGAGCAGTCATGGACCTTGCTTGAGCTGGTGATTATTTGAGTTTACCAAAGTTCATCAGATTGTATTCTTAAAACTGGTGCACTGTACTGTACAGAAACTAAAGAAATGTATTAACATAGGTTTAAGTGGAGCTAATGTAAAGAAATGACATTCATTTCATCAGCACATTTGATGGTTAGAAAGTAGGGGTATGCCTTCATTACATTCCAGGACTGAACAAATAACTATCACGAATCTCTCTGGTATAGATGGAATCGTCTCAGAGATGAACAGCTGTGTCATCTGACTCTAAGGAACTTACAATGACAAGGAAACAATTGAAACCAACCACCAAGGCACAAGAGTTTATGGACACAGTCATGGCCCTGGCCCTATGCAGCACCCCCAGACTCTCTCCAGCTTAACCTAAGGTGGGCAAAATGTTCCCAGAGTGATTCCACTACATGAGAGAGGAATGAGGACCAAATGTTACGTGACTGGCCTGAAATCCCACAGCTAGTCCAAGTAACTACCCTGGGTGACAACTTAGGCTGTTTTGCTGTAAGCCTATACTCTCAGAGACCTGATGGAGTCTTACTCCAGTGGTCCTCCCTTTTGGAGATTATTGCAGGAAGGTAGACCCATGAGAGATGGCTACTTGGGGAGTTTGAAAAGGTGATTCAACTGCTCAACTATCACAAAAGTGTTTATTGATTTTAAAAAATACTTCTTTATTGTTTTTTTTTTCTTTCTTTAGAAATTGGGCAGTGATTCAGCGGGGAATTCGAGTCATCTCAGTGATGGACTCCAGAGAGTTATCAAAGGCAAGGGTCAGGAAAGTCTGCAAATGGGCAAAGAAACAGACAACAAATACCTGAACAAGAGTAGCAGAATGGGGTTCAGGAGACATAGACAGATTCCGGAAAATACTGCGTGAAGATGACTGGATCAGGCTGCCTGGTGCAGCTGTGAATGGATGTCTTCACGGCTTAGTAAGAATATGTTTGCAACACACGTGCAGAGGTGGAGAAGGTTAGAATCACTCACCACCAGAGGAAAGCTAGGGTGAAGACTCCCTTTGAAGGAAGGAATAAATGAACTTCGTAGTATTAAATGAGAAGAGGCTCAGTGATCTGGCTCCATTTGTGCTGTTGTTTCTTTAGTGAAATGAAGTTGACTTTCAATTGGATATAACAGACACTGACTTCAAAAGGCTTAAATATGAAAATGCATTGCTTTAGAAATTGTATACTGAAATACAGTACTCATTTTTAAAAAACAAATCATTGCCCTAAAATAAGATACTCTATCTGCCACACATTCTTCCCATTTAGTTCATCCCAAAGGTAACAGAAGACAGAGAATATCTTAGATAATATTATTCTTTCTAAAAAATTAGCAAAAGCAAATTATAAAGTATTATGCATACTTTATATAAATATCTCTCAATCTTTATCTAGATTATGTTTCCTTATTAAAACTAGAAGTTTATTCTTCTCTTCAAGAAAATGGTATCATGCAAAGAAGCACAAAGTGTTTAATGATGCTTATAGTTTTAAGATTGCTCATTGTTAAATGAAAATCATTTTAAAATGTGTTGTTTGAGGAAGTCTTTATTGTATAAAGGGATAGATATGAGGCTTCTGTGTAAATCTGGATCCATTGTCTTTACATTACTTAAGAAAAGCATTAAGAATTTTCAATCAAAAATTATTTCCTCGGTGAAAGAAAAGCATATTTGAAAAACTGTTCTCAACACATTTCCTTGGGATAATAGGACATCTTAGCTTTTTATTTTTAATTATACGTATATGATTATATGCATGTATGCATGTGTGTGTGTGTGTGTGTGTGTATGTGTACACATGAGTGCAGAGTTCCAGGAGGCTAGAAGGAGCTGTCAGATTCCCCAGGAGGTAGACTTACAGGCAACTGTGAGCTGCCTGACATGTGTGCTGGAAACAGAATTGGAATCCTTGGCAAGTCGGTATCCACTTTTAACAGCATCTCTCCATCTTCATGTTTAATGTTTGAAAATATTGCAATCACATAAAGCCACAATGCTCAACTTTCACCGAAATAAAGCACAAGGAGATGAAGTCACTTTAAGCCGCCTTCCTGATTATGACCTTCTGGGAAGGTCCTGTGCATTGGTGTGTCTTGCAATGTGAAAACCTAGCACTTCTATGATTGGTTGTATAGTCCTTCTGTTTCTAAGTACCAGCCTCAGCAGGATTTCCTTGAGATGTTCTTGAAAGGTCCAAGTTTGCTCTGCAAAGTATTCATAGTGAAGGTCTGGAATCGGCTTGAGATTTCATACTGAGTGGAATCTGGACACTTGGTGATCATCAACTGATTCCATTACACGGAATCAACAATGCTTGCCTGTTGGAGGATGGTGTATGTAACACAGTGTGGTACACATTGCATATCAGATATCATGCTTTTAACATTATCACAGCTAAATATAGGAGGTTGGTGTTCAGGTGACACGAAGATCTCCAGAGTGTGTTCATCACGCCCACAAGGGCCAGTGCTCAGGAGCCTGGTGACGCTTTGCAGGACTTCAACAACAGTGTCTAATCCTTCCCTAAGTGTAAAGCGTGATTGGATTCTGTCTGTTCAGCGCTGTGAGTGCAATTCAGCAGTAGTTATTTATTCCTCATCATTTGAGTTTTATAGAGTTATTGAATTAGTCTTCAGTTTTTTAAATGTAGGTCATTCCTCATGACTTTACATTATCCATTTCTTTAGGACGCTCAATAGAATATAGTTTTCTAGGTGAGTGTTTAGCATTGCTCAAAACCAAACCAACACTAACCAGAACTGCAGATGTAGCTCAGTTGGTAGAGGGTTTTCCTAGCAGGTATGAAGTCCTGGATCCAACCCTAGCACTGTGTGAGCCAGGTGTGAGAGCACACATCTATAACCCCAGCACTTTGGAGGTAGAAGGAGAATCAGAAGCTCAAGGCATAAGTGACTACACTGTGATTTTTGACACAACCTGGGATACGTGAGATTCTGTCTCAGATAGAAAACAATGCAATACAAAAGCCCAACACTAACAATCTACACTTAGCAAAACATGTAAAGAAAGGCAAATGAATTACATGTAAAGTGAAGACTAATTTGATACAGTCTAACTAATACTGAAAAAATATAAAGCTTTAGCTGTATCTCAGTACCCCCAGTATAATTCTCAAGAATGGATTAAGGCAAGTGCATTTGTCAGCTTACAGTTCCTCTTAACCTGGTCTCTGGAAACTCAAATGTTAGGAACGTAGTTCTGCAGTTGTTTGCTGCTTCATATATGGCCTTAGTATGATAGGTGTACAATTAAAAAGTGGTTGATAGCTAGGTCTAGTGGCTCTTGTGAGGCTGAGGCAGGAGGATTGCCTAGAGTTCTAGGCCACCTCTAGTTACAGAGAGAGTTCCAGATTAGCCTAGGTAACAGAGTGAGATGCTGCCCTTCCCCCCAAAGTGGCTCTCATTGAGTGACTGAATATTTAAACAAGTTTATGCATATAAACTTTATCCAGAATGTTACTCGCTTTGGGAGATTAGTTGGAAATTGTTTGTCATAGGTATCCTGAGGATTGCAGATCCATTTTATGTTCTGAGGACTGTAAAGGCTCATTTCCTTTTGCATTTAGTTAAAAAAAAAAAACAGCTAAAAGTAGCTGTTTTAACAGAAATTCATCATTCCTATTAGGATGTAGATACAGTTCTTTCCTTTTGGTCTAGTGATAAATTTATTGGCTAACAAATAAATAAGATAATGCAACATTCATAACTAGGTACTGGGATGAAGTCCCGAAATGTAATTATATTTGTTAACATCTTATATCAAAAGGAACTGTAAAGCTGAGCAAACAGTTCGGTCATAGAGCACTTGCAGTTCCAGAGTGAGGACAGGCCTACGGACCCCCACACCCGTGCCAATGCAGAGCGGCCAGGCAGCTCTGCTCCAATCCCAGCACTGGAGAAAGAAACAAGGTTCCTGCAAGGGCAGCTGTCTAGGGAGACTGTCTGAATTGGTGAGGTCTGAGTTCAAACTGAAAGACTTTTCATTAATACAGAAAAGGAAGAGGAGTGGAGGACCACATGATCTCACACCATTCTCCATACATACAAGTACACACACATGGGCTTACACACATGCAAACACATAAACACATGCACAGCACACATTCACATGCAAAAATATGTGTCAATATGTGTTGTACTTAAGTATCAGTCATTTCATCATCAAACTATGAAGCCAAGTTAATATTTTCAGAAAAT